TGTTTTTGCTATCCCTCATCTGTGTGGATTCCCTTTATTCTTGAAGTTCACACCGGACTCCCATCCCTCTCCCTTCTCTCCCGACCGATTGGGTTATAACATCTTGTTACCCTTGATTTTTGGAACATAATTTAATAACGAGTTCTAAAATTGAAATGCTCTTCATTGGGAAGTTGCATTCCCCTTCCTTCAAGTTAACCCCTCTCTTGACTTTACTTGGGATTCCATTCAATGAACTCTCTTGAGCTTAGTTTCAGGTGTTGGTGGGTATAACCAGTATGAATTATAGACCACTGTTTTTGATTTACCATTTTCTATCGTGAACTGGCTTTTGGACCCAAATTCATGTATGTAAATGTTTGCTGTTTCCCCCACTTAATTCTCCTGGATTCCCTTTATTCTTTTGGGGTTCACACCGGATTCCCATCCTCCCCCCTTCTCACCCGACCGATTGGGTTTTGACATCTGGCTTCCCGTGATTTTTGGGACATAACTGACACAAACCCCCAATTTTGAAGTTGGAATGTTCTTCATTTCCGACTTTGTATGCGTTCCCCTTGCCCGGTTTTAATTTTTTTTTTGGATCTTGGCTAACCTCTGTATGAAAATTTCCTGCGTATGTGAATCAGCATGATCCTAGCCCATCATATCCAGAAAATGTCTGATTTTTGAACAGAAGAATCTGCGCTGTTATTTCCCTCTTATTGAACTGGCTTTTGAACCCAAATTCCATGTATGTAAATGTTTGTTGTTTCCCCCACTTAATTCTCTCTGCAGCATGTGATTCCCTTTATTCTCGCATCCTCCCCCCTTCTCTCCCGACCGGTTGGGTTTCAAAACAGTTTTTGATCTTAGTACAGTAGTGGCAACTCAATGTTCAATTAGGTTCGGATCCATGAATGGGTCCCCTTCTTTCAGACATAAGCTGAGTACTGTTAAGTTTTCTCAAAAATATATGGGAAAACACCATTTGACTATTTGACTATCTTAACACCATCTCAGGAAAGGGTGGTTTATTCTTGGCTGTATGATAATTTAAATAATATATTTAAACTGACAAATTACAACTTATTTGACAGACAAATACGCCTCTCTGAGCGCGGTTGCAGGATACTTCCGTCTCATTGGCGAAGTTGTGCTCAGGCGATTCAATGCATTAGCCCAGGCGGATCGGTTGTCCAAGCCACTCCTCTTCTGGAACGCCTCGGCAGTCGGAAGAATGGAAACAAACTGTGTCCGCAGCTCCACTTCGTTGACTTGAAACACCTTTGCCAGCTTCTTCAAAGCTTCCTCCTGCCCAAGACCTCGCTTCGTTTCTGCCCGTTTTCCACCCAAGTGAAAGACGTCGAAAGCACTGAGCAAATGCCAAGCTGGAAATTCCGCTTCCAATACCGTCAAGGTCACGGATGTCCATTCCTGCCATCACAAAATATAATAACAATTAAATTAAGAAAAAACTCGACGACAAAGCAAACGCGCCTTCATCACCTTGATCGCATACGTCTTGTCGTGCTCCGTTATTGCAATTTCCATGACATCGCCGTGATGCAAAAAATGCAAAGGAGACCGCGCGAAAGAATCGCACAGCGTTTTGGTAAATGTAGGCAATTCAAACACCCGTTCTGAATGAAACAGCGCTTGAATTCCCAGCGCAAAGTTCTCAATGCGTGCATTTGTTTCACTCACGTCCGAAGACTCATCGTCGAAACTTCGAGTCAGCTCATGCACGCTCGCTGCGGCATCAGCAGCCATGGCCACGAGCAAACATTTTTTGCCAGACAGCTGCTGCAAAAGGTGAGACGCCCACTCTCCCCCAGATGCACGGATGATAGCGACCTTCTGACACAGTTTCACCACCGAGGGAAAATTGTGAGCAATCCGGCTAAGAGGAATGAAGTACGACGCGAAACGATGCTTCGCAGCACACATGCTGGTGAGCCCGTCATTGTCCTCAGTCACCAATTCCTTCCACCAGGTTGTCAGCATGGGGCTATCGCAAAGCCAGCGCTCTGAACCCCTTGGTGTTTTGCGATGGCCTCCTGGTGTCCCTTGGAACTTTCGTGGCGCTTCAAGTGGTGAAGCCTCACCTCTAAAGGTTTTTGCTCGAAGCAAGCCCATGGACCACCTGCTTCAGCCAAGGAACAGATGGAACAGCCCAGTCTACAGACCTTGCCTCGCAACGCTGCATGGAGCCACTTTGACTTCAGCTCCTTCAGCCAGATGCTTTTTTTCTTTTGCCAGAAACAGAGCCCGCACTTGCCTTCTTTTGTGTGGCAAGATTTGACATGCTGACTCACTAGCCTTGAAGGCAACAAAGAAGGCCTGGCGCTTCGATGCTTTCCCATATTGACTAGGTTTACTTCGGAACCAAATGGCTGCGCAAAAAAAACCCTTCAATGGATACGACAAATGATTGATTGCCATGTGAAATGAAAGTGGATAGTTGTCCGTTCCCATGTTGGGAACCGCCCTTCCCTGGTCAGGTTGGAGCCGAACATTAATTTTCAAAAGCAAGTTTCACTGAGACACTGGCTTCTCATAGAATGACGTGAGAATTGCCGACGGATGAGAAGCGTCTGTGTGCATTTTTTTTTGCCAGCTGCATACGGGTATAAAAATACCTACTACTGCCTTTAAAGAATGCAGCTACTGCTAGCTGCTTTCCCCATCCACCCGCAGGCGCGCTTTGCCAAGCGTCCGTAGACACGAAGTGTCCTTAAAAGGTGTGTCCGCAGACACGGAGTGTCCGAAGACACGGGGTGTCCGTAGACACAAAGTGTCCGGAGACACGGAGTGTCCGAAGACACGGGGTGTCCGTAGACACAAAGTGTCCGAAGACACGAAGTGTCCGCAGACACGGAGTGTCCGCAGACACAGAGTGTCCGCAGACACGACGGAGTGCCCGCGGACACAAAATTGGTGCCCGCGGACACGACAAGTGTCCGCAGACACGCAGAGCCGGCCAACTCAGTTGCGCTCATCTGTCACCTGCCGCTCAGCTTATCAACAACCATAGCCAAAGCGTTTTGAGCCATGGTCATGTCCCGTAGCAAATCTTCAAAGCCGCTCTCACGGCAATGGCTCATAAGAGCTGCTAAGTCCCCTTCTGCTCTGTCGAACTCTCCCAAATGAAAATCCGCGTTCCTTTGAAGCCGCGGCAAGTCCAAAGCTTCGTCCGGAACATAGCCTTTCAGGCATACCTGGCCGTTTTCCACAGGAAAGCAACTGGGAAGGTCTTTGTTTACCTTCGTCTCCCAGGCTGCGCAAAGAAACAAACTTACTTTGCACAGCGCCGACCTCTCCTCCAGTTTCTGGACTGCGTTTGCAGTCATTCGCAAAACTTCCTGAAGGCTTTCCCAACGGTCTTGGGTCTCAGCACTGCTGGTTGTCCCCGGGAGGATAGAGCCCAGAAGCGCTGCAACCAGCAAGAAAAATTCCTTATTAACTCTCCATTCCGCTGCAGGCATGTCGTCGGAGTTTGCCGGACTTATCTTTGAACTTGAAATGAAGCTGCAGCAGCTCCGGAAGATATTCAGGTGCCAAGACATATATAAAATATAGTCATGTAAAAAAATATGTATGTGTATATGTGCATAAAAATGTTTCCAAGTCTCTCAATATTAAAAAATACATACTAGTATTTCAACCCATTATTATTTAAAATCAACCAAATGTTGTTTTCATAACAACTGATCTTACAAAGTTTGTCGATGTTTCATTGAGTGGGTTAAAAATAAGTACAGCTGATGCTGGGAAAACAAGATGGAGGGCTGGAAAGCAACGTCAAAAAAATTGAAGAGGGAGGAAGAGCAACCAAGCAACAGTTAAACAGCACCAAGCTGAAAAGAACAAAAACCAAAAAAAACATACTAAAAATTATGATGAACTTACGATGGACTTAACATAGCATCTTGATAAGTTCTTCATAAGTTCGTGCTAAGTACCATAAGTTCAAAGTTCCTCCAAAGCAGCTGCTAGCACTGCAGTTGGCAGCGGTACATTCTTTTTGACAAACCGAAACCAAATCTCTTTGAGTAATGGCAATGCACGGCCCAAACTTGCCCAATCATAAACGAGCCGAATCGCATGGAAAGTCCACGCAGCTGCAACATCTCGCTCGAAATTCAAACATAGTACTAGGTGAGTGTCGAATAGTTCATCCAGGCTCAAAGAAGACCATCGCTGACACAGCGGCGGCAGCTTCACATCACCGCAACGCGAAAGAAGCAACAACGTAAGTGCATGGAGTAAAGGATTCATGGTCAGTCTAGTGTCTTGAAGCACAAAAAAAAGCGGGTCACAATCTCTGATCTCAAATTCAGAAGCAACAATTCAACATCAGAACTTGGGATCATATACAAGTGTTCCATTAAGACGTGTGCATATATACCTATCTTCACTCAATAGCTAATGCGAAAATATACATACATTCACACATTTATTTATACGTAGATGGATCGTAACTAAGTCAGAACCATCCTCGACCATCCGTTACTAAGATGAAATGCAGCTGCCCCACTGCCATCTCATGCCGAGTTCCGTCATTCTGAGCTTCAGACCTGCAGCGAGCAGGTGTACGGGAATAACTCTACTATATATATATATAAACAGATATATTGATACACATATTTATTTTTTATATGTGTATCATATCTATATATGTGTCCATCTGTATACATGAACATTAACATACCCCACCCCACCCAACCCCAAAACCCCAAACCCCCACGGGCACCCCATTCGTGACGTAGCATCAACTCGGACCGACGTCGTGTCAAAAAGCGAAACGTAACTGCCCCACCACCCACACCCGAACCCACCCCAAACCCATGCGATGACGTAGCATCAACTTCACCGACGCAGTATCAAAAGCGAACGTTAACCAGTCAGACCACCCCAAAGAAGGGGACAAACCCCGACCCTCACCTCAACCAACACAAACCCCATTCGTGACGTAGCAATCAACTCCCTCGACGCAATTGCAAGCATGAAGCGTTGCGATGGGCCCCAGGGGACCCCCGCCCAACCGACCCAACCCCACCGCCCCTGCGTTGACTGTACAATCAAACTTCCCTGACGCAAGTTCAAGCGAAACGTTACACAATGCCAGCGCACCCCACCGCCCCAACCCCAACCAAACCCCAATGCCTATGACGTAGCCATCGAACTTCCAGACGCACGTGCAGCGAACGTTAACATGCCCCATCCCCGGGACCCACCCAACCCCAACCCCATGCGTGACGTAGCATCAACTTCCCGACGCAAGTGCAAGCGAACGTTAACATGCCCCACCCCACCCAACCCCAACCCCAAGAGGTTTAAGATGATATGTAAGAAAAAGGTCGAATTTGTGGGCCCGTAAAAGATCCGACTGCATAAACATGTTTATCATTCGTTGTCATGATGTATGGCATATCTTGATACATGTACACCTACTCACCTCACAGATGATCATATAATCTGGTAACATATTTACTATTGCCACTATCATGTTATAATTGCCTCACATATTCTGCAATCTCCCCCCCACCAGTTTCTTTACGTTGTTCGATTTACGTTATACTATAAACCACAGTCAGTAAGTTTACCAACAGAAATCTATCATAAATCAATATTATTCAGTTTCCTATGTTTGATGGTGAAGAACTTAAGGGTGACATCCCCAGTTTGAAAGGCAAACAACAACTATCTTTCTTGGGCCCTACATTGTACAAATGATATCAAATTATATCAAATTATATCAAATTATGCTTAAATCACAATGAGTTATCCTTATGTTCCCCATAGTTTACAATTCATGATCATAGTCCATTCTCCCGTATGATCCTACAGTATCGTATCATTGTTCCATCATCGTTCCACCTCTGTCGTTTGAATACGAATTCTTACAATGTCCACGCATAATACCAACATACCTATAGCATAAACCCACCCTAAATCATCTACAAATCACCTCAAAACACCCATATATCGGCCCTAAATCACCTAAACCACCTAAACCACCTAAACATCACCAAGAATACCACCAAAAATCACATTAAAAACAGCAATGAATCACCACAAAACCACCAAGATTCACCCATCAAATGTCCCTATGGAGGAGCGGGTGAAGGCCGAAAAGTTGGCACAGGAGAAGATCAAGGAAATGCGGCGGCAGGCGCGTACGACTCATGGTGAGTTCATGAAAGTTATAACCTCATCAAAATCACCATCAACATCATAGGTAATACGGGCTTAAATCCTCATAAAAAACCTATGGTCCCCCCAACGAGCTTGTTGGTTGAGCTGCTCACCCATAGGAAAAGCTTAGAAAAAGGGTGATTCAACCCACAAAAACGGTGATTTAATGAAATTGATAGGCCTTTACCAGATTTTTTTTTGATGGCTATAAATCTGGGGTCAAAACTGACCATAAATGGGGTGACTTACTGACTTATAGCTGGTGAAGGGCCATAACTGTCGAAATTCAACACGGCCCCACGTTGTAGTACCAAATAACCAAAGTCAAGGTGGGAAATCCAACCTAATATTAAACCCCCGTCAGAAACCATGGTTTAGTCAGAGGATTTACACATATTGGAACCATAGAATGTGGGGTGTTTTTTTGTTGCACGGGGGATGGGATTAACACATACTATCCCCATTAGCGTGTATCCCATTATATCCCACTATATCCTGGTTGGTGGTTTGGACCAGGTTTTTTTTTCATTCAGTTGGGAATGTCATCATCCCAACTTTCTTTCATATTTTTCAGAGGGGTAGGTCAACCACCAACAAATTATTCTGGTTGGCTAAATCCCCATTTCTGGTCATTTCAGGTGTTATCAGCTATAGGGGGATAACTAACCCCATATACTGACCACTTCACTTGACTATACCATGTGGGGCCCCCCTGAAATGTTTGTTGGTGTATGTTGGTTTATTGTAAAACCCGATTAACTATAGGTCCATACATCTACCATAAAGCATAGTTATTGGAGTTATTTGCAGTTATTTGCACCAACTTAGCCATCACTTAAAGTAGCTAAATCAATCCCATGGAATCCCCCATGTTTGTTGCCTCAATCACCCACATTGTCCTATGTTTTCGTGGCGCTCGCGAATCTCAGTGAGTTGAGCTTCTAGAAAAATATGGAACACCCCATGGGAAAAACGGCCTCGGACACCAAAAAAACATGGTGGGATGTCCACATCGATGTGAACGTGGACTCTGGAGGGTATCAAATTTACGATTTTTACAACATCATGAGGCGATGTCCCCATGTTATATTGCTTATATTAGATAGGCATTCCAGGCTTAGAAAGAAACTGGTTGTCCCCTTGAAATGCACGATGCCCAGGGTCTATGCATGCTATGGTGATGGTAATACCGTGTACTGCCGATACGGATGAATACCCGTCGCTTATAGTTACCCTCTAGTAAACTAACATAACTGCAGAACATCACCATTTTTAACGGGTAAATCAACTATTTCTATGGTCATTTTCAATAGCAAACTGTTAGTCGTTACCAGAGGGTATAAATCCCAGTTTTGTACTGATCTCCTAGATTCTACTTGTATGTGCATCCTACATATAGCATCATATAGCCCACATAGAAACCATGAATGGTAGCCATACGTAACTGGGGAAAAAAGTGCGGTTATGAAGCACTCATGGTTTCATGGGGTGCACCCAATTATGGGTATGGTTTGCAAGACTCAGTTGTTGTTTGAAACTTATATACATCCCAGATATGATACATATATATATAATTATATATATAAATTCCGAAATACATATCCATTATAATATATAATAATAAACAACACATCATATCCCATTAACATATATATATATATGAGTTATTTATATATATATATATATATATTCATATTTTCCTCACGGCTTCAACCGTGGCGAAACATTGCGCCAGGTTGATGACGCGGCAGCTGAGACCATGGAATTGCAACGGGTCAGAGCCCTGGACCCCTGGTGGCTTCCGGCGACCCCAGATGATTTACCCCAAAAAAATACCTGGCAAAATTACTTTACTTCGTGTGATCCCCACCATGACATTTATACATTCTTTCTGGCATATCTTCTGACATTCTTTCTGACATTCTATCTGGCATATCTTCTGACATTTTTTCTGGCATTCTATCTGGCATATCTTCTGACATTCTATCTGACATATCTTCTGACATTCTTTCTGGCATATCTTCTGACATTCTGTCTGGCATATCTTCTGACATTCTTTCTGACATTCTTTCTGGCATAGCTTGACATTCTGTCTGGCAATACTTCTGACCATTCTTTCTTAACATTCTTCTCTTTTCGGCATTCTAATCTGGCAATATCGTTCTGAAACATTCTAATCTGACTCGTTTCTTTTCTCACATTCTTTCCCGTTGAGGTCCGGCAGTGCCCACTGCGATCTGGAAGTCGCGGTTGAGGTCCGGCAGTGCCCACTGCGATCTGGAAGTCGCGGTTGAGGTCCGGCAGTGCCCACTGCAACCTGGAAGTCGCGGTTGAGGTCCCACTGGGATCTGGAGCTCGCGGTGGAGGTCCGGCAGTGCCCACTGGGATCTGGAGCTCGCGGTGGAGGCCCGGCTGTGCCCACTGGGATCTGGACTGCGAGGAGGAGGCTGCGGGTGAGGAGGCGGAGGAGGCGGAGGTGGAGGCGGAGGAGGCGGAGGCGGAGGAGGAGGAGAACAGCTCTGATAAAATCTAACAACCCTCACCTGGCAGGTGGGGGAAAAAAACCGCAGATGAGACTATATCTGGTTGGTGGTTTGGAACATGACTTTTATTACTTTCCATTTCATTTATGGGATACCGGGATAATCCTTCCCATTGACTTTCATATTTTTCAAGATGGTTAAAACCACCAACCAGATATACTATGGCCAAGTTTCATGATAGTAATGATAATGATAATGCATGATAATTGATAATATGATTCTTAATTATAAGATTATAAGTATGTAATTGGATCATATATCAATGGCCAATTACTACTACGGCCTCATGATTCTTAATGATAGTTTTAATGATCCAATTGATGATGAGGCCGTATGGTCTCAGATAGTGAATTGCTACAATTCAGCCATATATGACTTACCCTTCAGTAATTAATTAAATTAACAGCTTGACCGGCTTGACCCTGCCATGACTTGTGGGTTGAAGGATTAGTTTTCACGAATGACGAATTCTCAGGCTCTATGTTGACTGAGGGAAGGGTATATATATTTTTTTTGAACACTGTAGGACAAGGATACACCAAAGCTGCTATGATGGTAAAATCATGGAATACAATTGGGTGTTTCATGCACTCATGGCCCTGGCCTAACAGTTATAACTGGGATGAACCAGCTCCTGTGGCTAAGGTTGTATCCCATTATAATCCCAGTTATAACTGTTAGTTGTGCATGACTGTATCTATCTATCTAATCTATCTATCTATCTATCTATCTATCTGTCCATCTATCTATCTATCTATCTATCTATCTATCTATCTATCTATCTATCTATCTGTCCATCTATCTATCTATCTATCTATCTATCTATCTATCTATCTATCTATCTGTCCATCTATCTATCTATCTATCAGTCTGTCTATCTATCTATCTATCTACCTAGCTATCTTTCTATCTATCTATCTATCTATCTATCTATCTATCTATCTATCTTCATGAACTTCTAGACTACCCCCCTCAGTACTACCCTAAGAGAATTTTGGATAGTAAATAAAAAACCGGTTTTGTATCCCCTGATTTTTTAAGAAATAATTAGTAGCCTAATAAGGAAAATGGGGGGATACAAACCAACACTAATTAGTATCCTAATAAGAATTGATTTTGGCATTTTGTATAAAACTTATTAGCATGCTAATAAGGAAAAACATCCTTATTAGCATGCTAATAAGTTTTATACAACCTTTTTTGTGTATAAAATCTTATTAGCGGCCTAATAAGGATTTTGTCCCTTAATAGATGCCTAATAAGATTTTATACAAAATTGACGGGGTATGATTTTTGTATAAAATCTTATTAGGGTCCTAATAAGGTTTTTTTGCCTTAATAGATGACTAATAAGATTTTATACAAAATTGACGGGGTATGATTTTTGTATAAAATCTTACGAGTAGTACCGCACAAGGCGGTGGCGGAAGTTTCAAAAATAGGAAACCTATAGGAGAGGTTGGTTGTTGTGAATCAGGGATGGCAGAGCGAAGCCACTGATGGACCGAAAGGTGCTTGAGGTCTCCTTTCTTTCGCTCTCTTTCTCTGACTATCTACCTACCTACCTATCTATTTTCTATGTATCTATCTATCTATCTATCTATCGATCTATCTATCTATCTCTCTCTCTTTCTTTCATTCAATTACCCAATCTATCTATCTATCTATCTATCTATCTTTTCTATCTTATCTATCTTTTCTATCTTATCTATCTATCTATCTATCTATCTATCTATCTATCTCCCTTTCATCTGTCTATCTGTCTAGCTGTCTACCTGTCTATCTATCTATCTATCTATCTGTCTGTCTGTCTACCTATCTATCCATGGTGCACCTACCTACCTACCTACCAATTTATCTATCTATCTATCTATCTATCTATGTATCTATCTATCTATCTATCGATCTATCTCTCTCTCTCTCTTTCATCTATCTATCTATCGATATATCTATCTATCTATCTATCTGTCTGTCTATCGGTCTATCTATTTATCTATCTGTCTGTCTGTCCATCTATCTATGTATCTATCTATGTGTCTATATCTATCTATCAACCTATCTATGTGTCTATCTATCTGTCTATCTGTCGATCTCTCTATCTATCTATCGATATATCTATCTATCTCTCTCTCTCTATCTATCTATCTCTCTGTCTATCAATCTATCTCTCCATGTATCTATCTATCTCTCCATGTATCGATCTCTGTATCTATCGATCTATCTATCTATCTGTCTGTCTGTCTGTCTGTCTATCGATCTGTCTGTCTTTCTGTCTGTCTATCTGTCTAGCCATCTATCTATCTATCTCATCTACCCAGCTGGCCCCTCTCTCTCTCTCTCTTTCATGTAATTACCTATCTATCTATCTATCTATCTATCTACCTACCTGTCTATCTCCCTCTCCCTTTCATCTCTCTATCTGTCTAGCTGTCTACCTGTCTATCTGTGTTGCAGTGTCATTCAGTGTAATGTAGTGTGGTGTAGTGTAAGTTAGTGTAGTGGAGTGTACTGGAGGAGTAATGTACTGTCATGTAGTGTGACTTCGAAGTGTGCTTCGCGCCACAACGGCGTACACTTTTTTCAACATCTGAACCTCCAAAAATGGTCCGAGCATGGTGTGTTTTGTACATTTTGACTTGGAAATGTGCTTCGCGCCACAACGGCGTGCACTTTTTCGACATCGCAACTTCCAAAAGTGGTCCGAACCCCTAGTGCTTTGCACATTTTGACTTCGAAATGTGCTTCGCGCCACAACGGCGTGCACTTTTTCAACATCGCAACTTCCAAAAGTGGTCCGACGCTGAGGTGTTTTGTACATTTTGCCTTGGAAATGTGCTTCGCGCCACAACGGCGTGCACTTTTTCGACATCTCAACTTCCAAAAGTGATCCGAACCCCTGGTGTTTTGCACATTTTGACTTCGAAATGTGCTTCGCGCCACAACGGCGTGCAATTTTTCATCGCTCCTGTGGCCAGCTGGCTCCGCACCCGCCGCTTTAGCGAGCCTACTTTTCGACCCTCCGGAGCCACAAATCATTGGAAAAACACAGTGGTTCGCGACTTTCCTACCTTTTCGCGCATCTGTATCTTCTGTCTTCTTACTCTTTCTCTTCTGATCTTCTCTCTGAATAGCCTGTAATATGGAATCCACAATTGCTCCTTATTAGAGGCCAATTAGGTTTTTGCACTTTTTTGTATCCCATGATGTAGTGTTTGGATACAAAAACTTAATAGTGCCCTAATAAGGATTGGAAGGGATAACAATTTACCTTATTAGGTGTCTATTATTTTTTTGTATCCCCCAGGGCCGGGCTTGGATACAAAAACTTATTAGTGCCCTAATAAGGATTGAAAGGGATAACAATTTACCTTATTAGGTGTCTATTAACTTTTTGTATCCCCCAGGCCCGGGCTTGGATACAAAAACTTATTAGTATCCTAATAAGGACGGAAATTGCCTTAATAGCATACTATTAAGTTTTTGTATGATTTGGGAATACAAATCCTTGTTAGGATGCTAATAAGAAAAAAGGCACTTGTCTTAATGTAGACCGGATTAGTATACTAATAAGGAATTGGATACAAAATCACACGTAATGGATTTTAGGCCTTAATTACTATCTAATTTTAAGCTACTATTAGCATATTACGAGTATGCTAATAGGATACATTTAAGGGTTGTATCCCAGAATGATTTTTTCCTTTTTAGCATACTAATAATATCTTATTAGTATACTAATAAGGAATCCACAAATGGTCAAATCCTTAATATTTTTGTAGGGTAGTACGGGGGTGGGGTAGTGTAGAAGTTCATGATATCTATCTATCTATCTTATCTTATCTTGTCTTATCTTATCTATAATATCTATCTTATCTATCTTATCTATCTTATCTATCTTATCTATCTTATCTATCTTATCTTATCTTATCTTATATTATCTTACCTTATCTTATCTTATCTATAATATCTATCTATCTATCTTATCTATCTTATTTATCTTATCTATTTTGTCTATCTTGTCTATCTTGTCCATCTTGTCTATCTTACCTATCTTATCTATCTTATCTATCGTCTATCGTATCTATCTTATCTATCTTATCTTATCTATCTTATCTATCTTATCTATCTTATCTATCTTATCTACCTTATCTATCTTATCTATCTTATCTATCTTATCTATCTTATCTATCTTATCTACCTTATCTATCTTATCTATCTTGTCCATCTTGTC